TTCCCTATTTATAAGTGGATTTTTTTAATACGTTCAATAAGCTTTCACACACCAGGTGAAGCGCTGATACAGTTAGTGGTAAGTCCGTTTTTTTAATTGTTTGCATTTTACGAGTACATTATCAAATAAGGAAATAATACCTAAGAGCCAAATATAACAAACTCCATCTCTATTTACACTATTACAAAAATAAAACAACTCAACAACTAATTTTACATGGGCACAACTTAAAAATAATTATTATGATATAGGAGTGTAGTTGAAGATCAGGTCGGTTGTCACTTCCATTATTTTTAATTTTACCTTTATTATCAAGTACTTGACAGACAGACGTAAAAACTACTTGACTTAAGATCTAATACTTGACTTAAAATCAAGTCAAGTACTGGATTCCTAGATACGACAGGAATATTCTAGTACTGGCTCGCATTTTATGAGGATTTCTTTTCCCCGCAGCAAAGAATGCTCGAGTATGCGTTGCAAATGGATGCAAAAGATGTTATAGCCGAATCCTCTATTTTCGACCAACGGCAGAACATTTACATAACATGCTTTGCCGTTTCTTCGGTCTGTCTACATATAGGTACCTATTGAATATATATAAATTCAACGTGTACATGTATATCTGCATGACACGATAGCTACAAAACAGATAAACCGATATTGATTTTTATCATTTGTTTGAAATATAGCTTAGATATTATTAGTTTGACAGGCGGAGATATCATTTTATTCTAAATGCCGACCGAATAACCACAGATAATACGCCTAGTGGCGTCGTAATAGGTCAGTACGTAGAATGCGCCCTGCTTTCATTTTGCTAAATATTTGAAAAACTAACTGGTGGATTGCTATCCGAAATCTAACGTTCTAACGTATTAAGGCTACTCAAGTTATATACGACATTTTGCCTTTTTGTTGCTGATAAATATTATGTGGTGGTTGTTTTCATGAAATTAGTGATGTAATGATTGCATATAAAACTTGAATCTGCTATGACCGTTCTTTTATTAAGATCCTTGTTTGTCAACTGTTTGTTTGAACCAGTATTCTAAAGCCTCCTCATCTGTTAATTCATGTTGGGTACAGAAATGACCAAAAAACAATGCTATCAATTCAAAATAAATGCATTTTTTGTGCATCTTGTGATTTTTTTTCTTCACTCGTAACTTGTTAACGAATATTAGACAGCTCTGAAATTGCATGTCAAAATTTCACTTTTATAGTATAAATGAGCCGTTGATTACTTTTCCTCTTCAAAAAGTTAACTAAAAAAATGTTTCTTATTGTAAAGGGTTGTCCAATAGGGACGCAGGAAAGTAAACGTCAATTTGACATAGACGCCATCTTTGTTTTCTGTCACCGACATGTCATTTTGTTAGTTGAATGTTCACCATTGATCGCTATGGAGTCGTATTCGATTGAAGACCGCATTAAAGTTATTCGAGAGCACTACAAAAATGGGGCAAAAATAAAAAACACGTTTCGCGCGCTTCGTGAACATTTCGGACGCAACAACCGCCCAAACGAAACAACCATCGGTCGTCTAGTGTGTAAATTCGAGGCAACAGGTTCTGTGGCAAATCTGCCAGGCTTTGGCCGGCCAAGGAGCGTTCGCACACCGAAAAATATTGCTGTTGTGAAGGAGAGTGTGAGAGACGATCCGAAACAATCAACAACGCGTCGATCCCAAGAATTCGGCATTTCGAGAACCAGTTTGCTCCGCATTCTCCACAAGGATTTGAATGTAGACGCCTACAAGATCCAATTGACGCAAGAGCTGCGTCGGGCCGACCATTTTTCGCGCCGAACGTTCTCAGATTGGCTCCTTGAACACCGCCGAAGCGCATTTCACTTTGAATGGGACGGTAAACAAGCAAAACTGCCGCATCTGGGCGAACGAAAATCCCCGTGAGTATCAAGAGCAGCCGATGCATCCTGAAAAAGTGACTGTGTGGTGTGCATTGTGGTCAAAAGACATCATCGGACCTTACTTTTTCGAAAATGCGGCCGGGGACGCCGTTACCGTCAATTCTGAGCGATATCACGTGATGATAGAGGACTATTTTTTCTTTCAACAGTATTGTTGCTTAAGGGAATTCTTTTAATGATATGATATATAATGATAAAATAATTTATCTACGCAAAACGATAACTAACCACTGTTACCGTTTGCGATCGATTGCCGGATCGATAAGAGTGGTGATGACCGACGCGCTGTTGTCATGAGTGTTTTAAATATTTAATTTAATGAAGTTTACTTACTTACTGACTACAAATTTTTGCTTAACGTAGAACAACTTAATGCCATTTATTTGTTAATTACCCACTTTAAACACGTTTTAGATGAGATTATAAAAATTAGTAAGATTGTGGTGATTGTAGTCGATATAAAGTACTTAAAGTTCTAAACTATAAAACCACTTAGACAAAAATCTATTGACTTTTGGACCATGGGTCATATGAACTTTTTGACTTGATTTGAGCCCCCCCTATTACCCATTTCAATAATGTCTACCATAACGTTTACACCCTGTATAAGAAAATCTGTTCAGACGTTTGAAGTCGGAGGATTTCTAAACTGTTTTATACTTGTCTCTTGATGAGCTCTAAAAAACAAGTGGCTAGTCAGCAATCCAACCTCGATTTTTTTAAACTGATTTACCGCTTTTGGCTAATTCTGTAATCACAAACATGTTGTCCTTTTTACGTCAATGTCTTGTTAAATCCAGATCTATTAAAGATGACCTCGTGCTGTGTATCTCTATATGAATCACTATTGGCATATCTAGGTGTTTAGCGAAAATACTGAGGTAAATACACATTCTTATCGTTTTATCTGTCGTTTCTGTAACAACATTTTCTGTCGATATCTCATCAATCTTCCAACTATTTCGTTATCTGATGTAGATTTAGAGCTCGAGGATAAAATTACAGACTTTAATATAAAGTTTCGTGTTCCACAAATGCAATTTAATTTTACAGAATACTAAAGGGGCGTCTTTAAAATTTTCTTTGAGAACCCTTTTTCAAAAGTAACATGATTTTCTATGACGACAGCAATATGCTTTCAAAATCCTCGGAACGCAACAATGCTGCGACAAAAAAACTAAGGATAACAGATCGACAGAGGTGGATGCTATGATATAGGTCATGATGTATATATCATTGTCATAAGTACTTAAAAACATTATCTATAACTAGTAAATTTTCAAAATCGATATCTCTTTTGCTTATATACTAAGTGACATATAAATCCGAACACCCAGTTTAAATGGTTTTATTTTAATAAAAGTTGGTGAATGTATTTATCTTACTGTAAATAACAAGTGAAAAAATTTTCAGCCTTACCAGTTGGACATTCTGGTTTTTATACTGCTTTTTTTTTAATTCACTAACGATTTCGTCAACCTAGTGAGTTTGATAGGGGCCGTATAGTGGGACTTCGGGAAGCTGGACTTTCTTTTCGGGCAATTGCTGTTAGAGTGCAAAGAAGTATAGACACTGTGGTTAGGTGTTGTCAGGCATGGCTTCTAGAAGGCCGTACGCAAAGAGCAAGGGGCACTGGACGCCGTCGTAGAACAACAGACCGTGAAGATCGCCGCCTAAGATTATTGGCCTTAAGGGACCGTTTCTCCACTACCAGGTCCATTGCAAATGAATGGTTTGCAGAACACGGAAGACCTATTGGCATGCGAAGTGTTTACCGACGAATGAGAAGTTTTGGCTTGTTTTCATACCGGCCACACTGGGTCCTCCCTTTAACTCGAGAACACCGACGTAATCGCCTTGAGTGCTGCAGACAACGGTCACTCTGGCATCAGGAATGGAACAGTATTGTCTTTAGTGACGAGTCTCGATTTTGTTTAGGCATGCACGATGGTCGTGCCAGGGTTAGAAGGCGACGTGGTGAAAGGAGGAATCCACAGATTTTTGTTGAAAGACATGTTCATCACACTGTTGGAGTTATGGTTTGGGGTGCTATAGCTTATGGCTCCAGGTCACCTTTAATCTTCATCAGAGGTAACATGAACGCGCAGCGTTATATCCACGAAGTTCTAGAACCCGATCTTTTACCCTATCTTGACACCCTGGCAGATCCAACTTTCCAACAAGATAATGCCCGACCACATGTTGCAAGAGTCACAATAGACTTCTTTCAACATAATGATGTCACATTGTTACCATGGCCACCAAGATCTCCCGACTTATCCCCAACTGAGCACGTGTGCGATATGATGGGTAGGAGATTGCTCAATTTGCAACGTCCTCCTCAGACTCTAGAAGCACTTCGAGAGGAGTTGGTGGTTGCCTGGTATGAGATACCACAGGAGGACATTGACCACCTGATCAGAAGCATGCCTAGGCGCGTTGGAGAATGCGTAGCACATCAGGGTGCATCCACACATTATTAAAGGTCAAAGGGCTTTAAAGCAGTGCAACCATTTTCAAATTATTATCATTTACTTATTATGCTTCATTAAGTACTTATACAAAATTTTATTAAAATAAAACCATTTAAACTGGGTGTTCGGATTTATATGTCACTTAGTATATTATAAAAGCTTAAAATGCATACTAGAACTTTAAAATTATAATATTGTAGGCACGTGTTTGTATGCAATCTCCAGGTTGACTGGTTTCTGTGCAATATTACTCATCCATGCATGTTCAAAACCGTAAATACAAACTTCCTCATGATAATTCTTCACTAATCTTCATTTCAAGGACACTTCTATCAAACACGTATTACTTAGCCGAATCCAGGAGGAAATAACATATTCATAAAAATTATCTAAAAAAGGACGGCTGAATTTGTTTTGAGAACGTGGAGATGCTATCTGATATTGTTAGTAAAGTTCAAAACTCTTTGAAATATGACTGTTGATGGGTATATCTTTTGGAATCACCAGTTCAGTCTTGGTTGTGGATACTTTAGGTAAAAAAATTAGCGCTGTCAAAATATCAGAGTACCTGGACAGCCATGAATAAGTTCATTTATGAGTGTTCTGCCACCTCCCTCGCTGTCGTTGCCAGGCAACGTGATGATTATACTTGATGGTGCACTCTTCCTAACTTACGTGTTGCACGAATTGAAACCCGGTCGACCTCAACCCCAAATGAATGATTCGCGCGGTACAAAAGGTTTGATAGTGTTATCGTATATTTCAATAGGTTCGTTTTGCTGTGGATGTTGGCAAGCCCGCCATGGCATCCCGGTGGCCGAGAGCTCTTATTGAATTAATTGGGCTACGGGAGGCTTGCAGTCTCATGAAATTGGCTTGTAGGTCCTAGTTTTTGGTTAAGCCTAACAGAATACATTCCTGGTCGGTACAATTTTGAGCATACGAGCCGCTTCTCACTTCAGTTGGCCCAACTATTGAAATCTTATTTTTTTTCTTATCAAACACAAATAATAAAAATGTAGCATAGGTTTAAAATATTAACAATGAATATTTTGATAATAATGGGTGATTTTTTTGCTAGTATCTTTTTGGCAACACTGTTTTCGACAGATGACGCGTGAATCGTGTCTTGTGTCATTGTCAAACTTGTTCAGTTTGGTCTATAATTTAACCACGAACGAACAACGCTTGCAAATTATTGAATTTTACTATCAAAATTCATGCTCGGTTAAGAGAGTGCATCGAGCACTGCTTCCAATTTATGGGCAATTTGGTCGGCCTACTGAGGGAGCTATTCGGAAGCTTGTGACTAAATTTCGAACCCAGTTTACATTATTGGACATTAAACCACCAACACGCAGACGTAGAGTGAGGACTGAAGAAAATATTGCGGCTGTATCCGCCAGTTTTAGTGATGACCGTGAAATGTCGATTCGCCGCCGTTCGCAGCAATTGGGCCTCTGTTACTCCACTACGTGGAAAATTTTGCTTATAAGATACAGCTGGTGCAAGAATTGAAGCTACACGGCCTCCCACAACGTTTCCAATTTGGAGGAAGATCCACATTTTTATCGAAAAATTGTGTTCGGCGACGAAGCTCATTTCTGGTTGAATGGGTACGTTAACAAGCAAAATTGCCGCATCTGGAGTGAAGACCAGCCAGAAGCATTGCAAGAGCTACCAATGCATCCCGAAAAAATCACTGTTTGGTGTGGATTATGGGCCGGTGGCATCATCGGGCCGTACTTCTTCAAAGACGACAATGGCCGGAACGTAACTGTGAATGGCGAGCGCTACCGTGCGATGATAACAACCTTTTTTTTGCCCAAAATGGAAGAGCTGGACTTGGTTGACATGTGGTTTCAACAAGACGGTGCCACATGCCACACCGCATACGAAACAATGGCCCTATTGAGAGGCGAGTTCGGTGAACAGTTTATCTCACGTTTGGGGCCCGTCAATTGGCCGCCTAGATCGTGTGATTTAACGCCGTTGGACTATTTCTTGTGGGGCCATGTTAAGGCTAATGTCTACAGGGATAAACCAGCAACGATTGACGCACTGTAAGCCAATATTGAAGCATTTATTAGTGAGATACCGGCCGATATGTAGGAGAGAGTGTGCCAAAATTGGACCTTGCACATGGGCCATCTAAAGCGGAAATAATCTTTAAACATTAAATTATATCGACCGTTCTATCGACTCAAATAAAGATTTAATCGTTTTTTCAAATTTTTTGTGTTTTTTTTAAATCAAATCCTATACCTCTTAAAAAATCACCCATTATATAGTAGAAAACACCAACTTTATCACTCCCTAATCAAATTTGCAGCATAAAAATAACACATGTTGCGATTACAGCATATCAACTTATTTTCATTTCAATGCAAAATAAGTCTATAATGCATAGGTGGCTGTGAAAAATAAATGCCATGACAATTGTTTTTATTAATCACAGCTGTCAGAATACGTTTAAAATAGTTTTTAAATGGTTCGTGAAAAACAGGCGTGCCAATTATTTACAATTAAGTGCTCTGTGGAATGACGCTGTTGGAAGGAGAATTTCGAGGTCCACAACTCATAGAGAGGCCCACAAACTGGGATTTAGCACGTGCAAGGTAGGTTTTTGATGAGGCCCGATTCGAAGTTTGTGTTGGTGACAGTCTCAGTAGAGTTATTCGCAAAAAAATGAAGCATTCCATGTTGACTGTCTGAAAAGTTAAATTTCCAGCATCCATTATGGTCTGGGGCAGTATGTCATCAAAAGGAGTAGGAAAACTTCATTTTATTGATGGAAATGTGGATTCAAACAAATATTTGGCAATTTTAGAAGAATCGCTTTTACCGGTGATGGAAGAATGTTTGACATCCGGCCAAGATTTTGTGTTTCAGCAAGATGGTGCAGCGTGCCATAGCTCAAAAAAGGCTATAAAATGGATGGAAGAAAATAATGTACCACTTTTGAAATGGGTTTCTAGCAGTCCAGATCTGTCACCTATTGAAACTTTGTGACACGAGATGAAAAAGGTTCTACGACAACATCCTGCTCGTACAATCACCGAACTGAGACAAAAGCTTCAAGAAATATGGGGTTGTTTTACACCAACTTTTTGCCAAAACTTGGTTAACACTATGCCCCAAAGAATTTCAGCCGTAATAAAAAATAAAGGTGATGTTACCCAATGGTAATCTTTCAATTGTTGCTTTGTTAACTTCGCGCATTTATTCGCACATTGTTTATTTGTTCAGATGTTCTATTAGTTATAGGTCTAAGTGATTTCAAATATGTATTTTTTACGACTAGAGTATCTAAAATGTTTTTGAGAAAATAAATTGTTTTCGTCATGTTTAGTTGATAAACGCGTATTTTGGTACAAATCTTGAAGTGGGCCAACTGAAGTGGGAAGGGGCTCGTACGTTCTCATACAGGAATAATTTCTATATCATAGTCACATTTCCTGTTTATTTTGAGGATTCCTCAACGTTATTAATAGGGTCATGATCACCATGGAAAGTAAGTGTTGATATTACCGAAACACCGTCGAGTCAAGAAACAAATACGAAGCGGTTAGCAATGCAACTGTGGAGTAAGCTCATGCAGTCTTACGGTGAGGCTCATGTTGTTGCTCTTGATATCAGCTGTGGTATGCTGCCCTCTTATGGAAACGTCCATCCTATGGCTTTCCAGAGAAGCTACCTCGGCGTAAAAAAACTCTGAGGACTTCCATTTTATGATGCGTTGATGCGTAATTTATTACAGAGACATCATTTGGCACTACAGTAGCGGTCAAACTTAACACAATTTTTGACCAGACGAAGCAACTGAAAGGGCTCAACGAAAACGACGGTCTTCTTTATTATTTTTCTCAAGGAACGCACACATCTAGATCTCATTGTGGTGCTTATGTGCATAGAGAACACACCCGGTTTCAGACATCAAATTGATGACATAATTACAACATACGAATAATAGGAGACCTTTAGTCAAACGAGTCGCCTTTTTACAACCCCCTTTCCATGATCAAGACTGTCAAGGCGAATGAGGTGTCATAAGAACAAGGTCGTTTCAAGTGGATGAGCGATAGCAAAGGCAATAAAGGTTGAAGAATTAATAGTTAGTTTTTGTTGCTATACAGGGTGTTTCAGAACTATGGGATATATTATATCATATAGAATAACCCCTACAAGTTTGATCCCATATTTCTGAAACACCCTGTACATAACAGCATCTTCAATATGTACAAAATGAAGGAGGGTCGATAGAGGGAGTCTGTAAGGTCTGGCAGAACTGATAACACATTAAATCTTTCAAAGAAGGTTTCGAAATATTCGAGGAATTTTTCCACTGACTGACAGAAAGCACTCGTGGAAAAGTGAGTCTACTCAAATTGTACAAACGACGCCCGACGGCATTTAGTGGAATGCGGAATGTTAGCACATGGTTGTTATTGGATGGAAAAGAATGATTCGGATAGATATTAGATAACGGTAATGACGTTAGTACGTAGGATGTTTGTAATAGGGATCAATCATTCTGTACTCCAGAAAGTTAAATGTCTTTTGGAATTTATAATCTACAACGAAGATTTGCAAGAATAATGTCTATAAGCTAGTAATATAGCTTTCAATTGTACGACCACTTTGTGCTGTCAATAATGGCTATATTCTTGCTTTTGGAATATTTGCCAAGCCTTTGTTAATAATTTGGATAATTTTATCGGCAATATATCAATCTACTTCTACGTACAGGTAATCAGATCCATGTCGAACCCAAAAAACGTATAATGATTATAAACAAATCTATAAAAATTGTTAATAACGCAGATTTTTTTTTTGAAAAATTTGCCAAAAATGTCCACAGTTTGAATCAATATGTAGAATCCTCCTAGAGGCAAACGCAATGACGTTATTCTATTTAATTTTGAGGTAAAAACAACGGCAGCTTTTGAAACGAAAAGTCGCGGTGGTAATGTTTTTTGCCATGAGATGGATTCATTTTATTAAACAAATACCCATATAATCATTATACCGTTACTATTGACTGAAGGACTTTGTTGCAAAAATACGTCTGGGTTAAGCATTTACGAGCCGCTTCCCACTTCAGTTGGCCCAACTATTGAAATTTTAATTTTTTTTCTTATCAAACACAAATAATAAAAATGTAGCCAGGGTGTTATAGGTTTAAAATATTAACAATGAATATTTTGATAATATATAGTAGAAAACACCAACTTTATCACTCCCTAATCAAATTTGCAGCATAAAAATAACACATATTGCAATTACAGCATATCAACCTATTTTCATTTCAATGCAAAATAAGTCTATAACGCATAGGTGGCTGTGAAAAATAAAAGCCATGGCAATTGTTTCTATTAATCACAGCTGTCAGAATACGTTTAAAATAGTTTTGGGTAGTTAAGGTTTTCAAAATGGGAAGAGGAAAGGTTATTAGTGAGAAAATTCGGTAACTGATAATTAAATTTTTTAATTCTGGGAAATCAAACTCAGAAATTGCAACGTTGTTAGACTTGTCGCGGTACACTGTGAGAAATATTGTTAGAAGATATAACGTAACTGGTTCAGTTAATATTAAGCCACGATATGTGAAAAAAAGTAATATCACAACTGCCGACCGAAGAGCATTAAGAAGAATAATCGTGAAAAACAGGCGTGCCAATTATTTACAATTAAGTGCTCTGTGGAGTGACGCTGTTGGAAGGAGAATTTCGAGGTCCA